CAGAGCACTTCGAGAGCAGGTGCTGCTGTACTTCACACCCTGCTGTGTGTGTAGCCACAGCCACCTGTGCATCTTAGGTCCTTGCAGAGGATGCTTCACTCAATTTCCATGGAAATCGAGAAATTTTAATAACAGGATTTCAAAGGGTTGTTAAGGGCTCAGACTTTTAAATGCCAACTTAAATAACTTCTTCCCTGGTAAATCCCAATTTCCCTATATAATAAGGAAACAGCTACAGTTCAAACTAGTGGTTGGAGGCTTAATTAAACTAGAAAACGCATACATAAGAGTCTAAAAGTTACTAAAACCTGCAGGCCTTCTTCAGAACCATTAATGAATTTTTCAAGTGAATTAAATTTTTCATGTAAGATAGTCATGTCTCTAAAAAACTAAAAATCCAAACGGATGACAGGGAAGGAGAAAATGAAGATGTCATCTTACACTGGTTGTTCAAAACATACACATCTCCTGCTTGTGGCCACTCCTGAAGTTTCCAATAATTATGCTTTGGCCAAATTTTAGTGTGTGTACTCCATCTGCCTGGTAAGACTTGCATGCAAAGCTAGTACCAACCCTGCTGCACTGAAGTTATGGCACATCACATTCTGTGTCTGCAGCAACAGAGATACTTGCTACAACTGTACATGCCAGCTGACTAGAGGAACCCTTCCAAGAAGGGGGACAGATTCCGAAGGCAGGTTTACCATGGCTTGACATCTGGTACTTGAGAAAACACCATAAAGCCAGAAGGCTGCTGTGCACTTTGGCGTAGCTATGCACTTGCACTGGTGTTACCACAAATGCTGAGGATGCAGCAGGGCTGTCTCTAGCTACCTTCAGAACTGGCAGAAGGGCTACTGATCTAGATCTCCACCTCCACAAGGATTAATTTAGCTCCCTTAGGAGGTGAATCTGAGCCTCTGTAATTTTACTGTGAGAAGTTCTCAATATAACTAGCTCAGTGCTCTGCCCACCCAAGCATCTGTGACAGCAGGGAGTTGTTACAGAATGACAGGCTTCCCTAAAAGCAGCCTGGTTTCCTGCTCACCCAGAGGTGACAAAAAACAAGTAGAGCTTTCATTTCACTACAGCAGCTTTAGAAAGCTCTTGACAAAATCTGCTTCCTACAGTACTCTGTACATGTCTGCGTTTAGAAGAGCAGTGGCATATTCAGGATCTAAAATCCTGGGTTTTAATCACATGGAGTCTCAGCTTAAGTGTGGGGGCTACGGCTTAACCTGATGGTTGCTGGTTCCTCCTAAAAGCCAGAAAAGGCATTACCAGCCCCAGGCTCCTGTGCTGGGAGTGTGATTTACCTGTGGATTTGTGCCAAACCCAGTATCTTGGTGAGACTGCGAGCATTAACTGTTGGACAGTTGTCAACCTTGATTAAAAGAAGTTGGAACTGTGGATAATTTTCTTGGTACTTTATTTCCATAATTACTCTTATTAAAACTTGTAACTGTAATTGGGGGGGGAGGAAGGAGGAAAGAGTAAAAATCAAGCACACAAGCATTCCTCTTTTTGGCAGTTCAAGCATTACAGTTTTGATTTTAGATTCTCACCATGTTATCCTCGGCTTCAAGACAGACTAAGGAAAACATGAAAAATACAACTCTCATGTTAACTAAGATAAATGATACAATATCCTGAATATCTAAAAAAATCAGATATGCTAAAGAATCATAGTTTGGAAATGCTTAAATTTATTTAAGCATGGTTATTTATTTCCTCATGATCATTTATTTCCTCACACAGAAGTTGCCAATATAGACTTCACCAGCCACCTCTGCTTGTAAGCAGTGGACTACTAGCTTAAATTTTATTTCCTAACACTGAACCTACTTCTAGAAAAAGTCACTGGAGACCTCTGCTCAGCAGAAACACACTGCTATATCCTGTAGCAATGCTCTGAGAACCCTGCAGCTACACTGAAATTACGGCCTCAGTTGGAATCCACAGATAGTGCAGAAATCAAAGAGCTTTGGAAGATGAATGTGAGCAGAAAATACTAACAACTTTCTATGCTCATCTCTCTAAGAGACCAACATCCATGCTATGCTTCCACAGAGAAAGCTCTTCGGTAATTTATTATTGTACCCAGGAGTTTCTCATCTTTCAACCAGACTTAAGTCTCTCCTTCTAAATAGGTGTTTTCACATGGGAATTCCCAAGGCCTTCCTACATGAAGAGTGATCCAAAATGATGAAGGGCTTGGCCCCAAGAATAGACATTGACAAACCCTTGTGAGCAGCACCTCACAAGCTAGTGTACACCACAGTCACCGAGACACCAGGTACTGGAAGCAGCTGATTACAGGAATGCACTGCTGGGTGGGAAGCAGCCACCCA